GAACGGAGCTGACATGCGCTACTCTCGGCGATCCCGGCTAATCTCGGCTAATCTCGGCCAGTCTCCACCTCTGCCATCGTCATCCGGACGAGCGGCACGCCGTGCGAGCGCCAGAGGCAGGCCTCGATGCCGCGCTGGTCGGTGACGTTCCTCTCGGCGGGCTGAACCACCATGAGAACCTACAGAGGACAAGAAGAAACTCGTTAAGAAGAAGAGGTTCTTTTCCTCTCGGCGGGCTGCACCACCGCATGAGCACCTACAGAGGAACAAGCTCTCGGGATGAAGGAGAACGAGCGCAGCGAGGCGGGCCGCCCCACCCCCCGCAGCACCGCGCAGGGGCCCCCCTTTGGGGAGGAGGCCACGTAAGCGGCATGCGCCTGCTTCACAGCTGCAGCTGTGAAGAGGCGCGCCCCCTTTCCCACTCACGGCGCGTGCCCAGCCGCGCCTCCGCAAGGGCCGCCGCGATCTCTGCCTCGCACGGGTTCGGAGGGAGCCTGCCGCCGGAGCCTGCAGGAGGGCTCCGAGAAGGGTCCGAGAAGGGCCCCTCTGGCGGTCCGGAGGTGAGCCGGCCGTCAATCAAGCCGGCGGCGAGCGAGGCGTGCATGTCTTGCAGCGACGCGGTGTCGCCTGTGAGTTTGAAGGGAGAGGGTGGGACGGGGCGGTGCGGCCCCGCACGCACTCGTGGACGCGCGCAAGTGCAGTGGCCGCGCGGTTTGAAGACGGCGTCTTCACGCGGCGGAACGGCTTCCGCCGGCAAACTGAGACTTGTCTCCGACATCTGCCTCTGGCATCTAGAGGCGGTCTCGAGATGTGTGGAGATATGGCGAGATATGATCTTCCTCGGGCATCCAGAGGCGGTGAGATGCGGTGAGATATGGGGAGATGTGATCTGCCTCCGGCATCTAGAGGCGGTCTCGCCCGTCACGGGCGGCGCGACCCAGCGCGGGAGCAGCTCCGCGTGCATCGCTGAGAGCTTGCCCGACAGGGAGCCGAACGAGGACGAGATCGTGTTTAGCTCGACCTGCCGGAGCAGCTTATCTCTGCTCATCTCTGCTCATCTCTGTGTCGTATCGGGGTCATCTCCAGTCCTCTCTGATGGTCCTCTTCTCTGGTGGTCGAAGAGCTTGGCCCGCCGGGAGCAGGGTAGTCGGGGAGTGGGATCAGCCGAAACGGAGTGTCTACCCCTCCCCTGCGTGGTGAGGGTGGCCACAAAGCGGGAAGGCCTCCAGAGTCGGAGGGGCTTTGAGGCATTCTCTCGCGCGCTCGACCTGCCGGAGCAGCGGCGGCGCGCCGCCCGGCGGCTGGTGGACCATGTAGTCGGAGCGGTAGATGCCGAGCTGCAGCGGCTGCGTCGGGCCCTCGGCGTGCACCGACTCGGAGAGCTGGAGCAGCCGGCCAGTGAACGCGTCCTGCTTCACGACCGAGCGCGTGGCCGCGTGCAGCCAGTCGACATCGCGCGCTACGCGATCGACGAGCGCGTTGAAGGGGACCGCAAGGGCGCGCGACTGCTCGAAGAGCTCGCTCGGCCACGGGTACGGCAGCAGCGAGCACGGCGCGGGCAGCAGCGACGCGCCGGCACCGATGAGGATACCGCCCACGGCCTGCCAGGCGAGCGTGTCGGATTGCATCCGCGCAACCAGGCTGGCTGGTAGGCCGAGGAGGGTCTCGGGCGGCGCGGAAGAGTCCTCCTGCGCCCCGGCCGAAGCGAGGATGTCCGCCATCCAAAATCGATCGCCGACGAGCTTGGAAACAAATCCGAGTGTTTGCTACTCGAGTAGTATGCTCGAGGTAGTATGAGACCGATCCGTCGCAGTTCTCTTGCTCCAAGCGCTTGCGCTTCGGCGGTTAGTGGTGCACTAACCTCCGAGAAACCCTTCGGGGCGCTCCTTATCGCAAACCCTGTCAGCAGAGTCCTCCTACGGGAATGTACGTATAAAGAGCTACAGTGGGTTGCGGGCATTAAGAAAACGTCGCATTAAGAAACCCTACCAAGAGATTTCCGCAAAAATCTAAGAAACCACGGCGCGCCGCAGGCGCGGCCCCGAGAAAAGGCCAGACACGAGTCTCGAGTGTGAACGGTAGGGTGCCCACAGGACCCAAAAGAAAATAGCTTTGCGGCTCAAAAAGGGACGCACGCGGCAAATCTGATGTTGGCCAGTTCCAATAGGAGCGAGGCCTCTTCCGTTGGGGGACCGAGTCACTAGGAAACGAGGGTTTCCCATTGTGTCCCCTTCGCGTGCGAGCGTGACACTGCACTTGGCGCCGAGCGCCCGCGGCTCAGACCTTGTGCAAGCCGACCCTCGGTGGGAGCACCGGTCCGGACCGATGGCGCTCGGTGTGGAGCAAGCAAGACCCCCCCCCCCCCCCATCGGCGCGCGCCCGAGGTTCAAACGGCCGCCAGGAGCACCAAGAGGACTCCTCATGGCTGCTCCCAAGTGGGCTTCGACCGGCCTCGGCTGGGGGGGCGGGTTGTCCCGGTTGCGGATGCCTTCTGCAGCCCCCTGGGATGGGGACAGCACCCCAAAACTGCCCCACGGCGGCATACAGCACTGCCAGCCAGCCTCTTCCTCCTCCAAGGGCTGTACTATAGGCCATATTGCGCCGCCTCCTACTGGCAGCCGGGCGGGCGCGCGCGCCGCGGGCGCCTCGGCGCGCGCACGGCTCGCAAAGTTCGAACGAGTACTGCCGCCCGGCCGCCTCAAGGCTGCCGGACGGCAGTACTCGCCTCGCAAGGCGCGCACCGGCTGCTCTGGCTGCTGCGCCGGCGGCCGCTGCGCTGGCCGCTGCTGCGCCGGCTGGCGGGCGGTACGGCCGCCGGCGGCCGTTGCACCCGCGCCTTCCCTCGCGGGCGCCGTCGCGCCGCGCGCGCCCAACTCTGCTGGCACACGGCACACGTCGTCACACAGCCGCGGAGAACAGGCGGTGCAGCGCGCGAAGCGCGCGCGATCTCGTACTTTTAAGGCTGGATCCGGCCATTCCAAGGGTATACCTTTGAGAATCCCCAGCGTCCCACCCTCCTAGTCACACTCTCAATATCTCGACTGGCCAACACGAAGTGCTGCGATCGGGAGTGCCCCATTTCTTTTTTCTTTTCTTTTTTTGGGTCCTGTGGGCACCCTATGAACGGGAGCCCCAGCTCAAAATTTCTCTTCGCCTGCGGCGCGCGCACTTGTCACTTTCCAAGTCTACGGTGTTCTGAGTGGAGTGGAGATGGAGGCGTGTGTGCGTCTTCCCGTCATCCAGAGAGCCGACTCGGCGGCAGACTCTGGCATCGCCCTCGCGGACCGCAGCTTACCTACCTCTTACCTAAAATCCTTAGGGGGCCGGCTCTGGCCTGAGTGCCGGCCGGAGCTAAGAAACCACGGCGTGGGGTGGATGAGGGCTGTGGAAAGGCCTAGAAACGGCGGCGTGCCGCGTAGTCCTGTTTTCTTAATGCCCGCAACCCACTGTACTACATACACTGAGTGAGAGAGAGAGAGGCCCTTAGGGGCCTAGAGAACACAACCCCCTCTCCCTTTTCTCCCAGTAAGCTAAAAGTACGTACACTGAGAGAGAGAGAGGAGAGAGAGAGTACACTGAAAATCCGCTCATTGCTGCCGGCCCTGAAAATGCCGAAATATACCAGAACGGCGTAGAACTCGGCGTGTCGCGGTGCGCGTCGTTCGCAGGCCATGGTCCTGGATTATCCTTTGTATCTGGCCTTGGGCTACTTGATCCTGGTAACCTACATCGCTCGGACTCTGTTCATGAGCGTCCGCTTGCCGGGTGCGGTTGGAGTGCTGATGGCCGGTTGGCTTTGGGGCGCCGCCTTGGCACAGCCGGACATTCTTGCTGCGCGAGATGATCTCCAGGAGTTGGCATTCTTCTTGGTTCTCCTCATCTGCGGTTTCCACATCAGCCTCAAGGACCTGTCCCTGCCGCTGCTGATCATGTCAGTTGTGCCGGTGTGCTTTGAGCTTGCGGGCGTGACGCTGTTTGGAGTATACGTCTTTGACCAGCAGGTGGTGACGGCCCTCATCATGGCTACCTGCTTCTGCGCTGTCGGCGATGGCCTCGTGATTCCAAAAATGAAGGAGTTCGGCACGACGAATCCAGGGCATCCTTTGCCTCGCTTGATCTTCGCTTGGATCCCTCTCGAGGACACTCTTGCCTTGACCCTCTTCGGCATTTTGGCTGGATTCGCCAAGGCCGAGGCAGATGAAGAAGTGGCCATCTGGCGCCTGATCGTCGCAAATATCTTGCGCCTCGTGATCACAGTGGCCCTCGGTGGGTTCATCGGCTGGATGAGCGCGATCTTGATCCCGCAGCGCACGAAGTTCTCCATCATGGGGCGCCAAGTGTTCACAGGTGCAACTGTGGAGGCGTTCCTTCTCATCTTCGGAGTATCTTTAAGCGCCTTTGGCATCGGCTTCAACAAGGGTGGGCATGACGGAGAGCCCTTCTTGCCCATTGGCTTGGCTCCCGGATCGATGGTGCAACCTGAACTGCTCGTGATTGTGCTCGGCATTGCCTTTGGGGACCGCGTAGTTCCCGAGCTGCTGCATGACATCGAAGGTGTTTTAGGCGGAGTGTGGGTCTTTGGCCAACTGTTTCTCTTCGGCATGCTTGGTAGCAAGACCTCCTTACAGCCGTTCGAGGAATACGCTGGCGACGTCTTGCCCTGCATGGTCGTTGGCTTCCTCTTCCGTGCCTGTGGCATCGTCGTAGGCTTATGCATCACGCGCCGCAAGCGCGCCCCGGCAATGGCTGACGAGTCGGGGTGCGAGGCCGTCTTCCAGGCGAATCACCGCAGCCTCTTCTTCGATGCGGGCTTCTGCTTCCTGGCCATGCTTCCACGCGCCAGCATCCAAGGCGTCCTCGCTGGCGAGCCACATCGCCGTGGCTTCTTCTCGGACTGGGGAGAACGCGGGCATCGCGCCAATATGATGATCATGAATGGCGGCCGCGTCTACATCGTTGTCACCGCGATCGTCGGCTGCATCTTGTTGGATTTGCTCGGTCCAAGGTTGCTCCAGGCTTCCATGGCCCGTGCGAAGCTGCCCCAGGAGGTTCTCGAGGAGGAGTCGCGCATGTTTCGGGAGGGGTGGAAGGCGCGGGTCCGCCGCTGGCGGGAGCGTACCGGCAAGAGTTGGGATGACCGGCTCGCAGACTTTGAACGGACGGAGGTTACCACGCTCCTTGCCGTGCTATAGTCCCTTTCTTACAGGTCATGTTTGAGACCTTCAACGTGCACGCCATCCTGCGGCTCGACCTGACCGAGAGCTGCTCACCCAGCGCGGCTATTTCTTCACCCCCTACCGCCAGATCAAGTAGAAGCCGGCGAGTCAGGGCGTCACGCTGCCCCTATCCTCTCGACGCGTCGGCAGCGCCTGCTGCTACAAGAAGGCGCCCAAGACGGAGCTCGGGCAAGAAGCGGCTCTGGTGAGGATCATCGGAAGGAGCTCCGCGGTGCTTTTGCACTGGCGCGGGGGTCACGCCTCACGGGGGCGCCACTAGCTCTGCATGCACATGTAACATGTGCAGCGACCGGATGGGTATCGTGACACCTTTTGGCATTGTGTTTTCTCTGTGTTTTCTTGGCACGTTGGCAGTGGGGCGCTCGAGAGGTTGATCCAGCAAGCCGGACGCGCCAGAAAAACGGTATGGCGGATCTGGAGTGCTCTGCTGCTCTCTACTGCTGCGGCGCCCCTGTCGGTTCGGAGGCGCCCGGCGGCCGCGCGCTTGGTGCCGACGTCGACCGGCTGCTCTCGCGGCGCCGAGGCGTGCCGCTTCGGTCACGTCACGCGCGCTGCGAGGTGTCTTTTGGCATGTGAGCGCTGGCAGGAAACGCCAAGAAGCTGGTCTTCCATGTCTGCGGCCGCGGGCGTGTGGGCGGGCTCGCCGGGCTGGGCGAAGCTCCGAGCGGGTCTTCGAGCTCGCCGCCCGCGAGGAGCCAGCATGGCTCGTCGCTCGACGGGAGCCTGCCCAGCATGCTCTGGGCATTCTGTACAGCCTCGCCAAGCTGTCTGGGAAGGCCTACAGAGCCAGGGCGGGCTGCCTCGGGACGGAGCGATGGCGCGCTGAATAGTACCATGACTACGAGCTCTCGATCGGGTCGCCGGCAGCGGGCTTGCGCGGCGTGCTGCTCGACGGCAGGCCGCTCCCCGCCCTTTCAACAGTGTCTTTTACCTCGCTCCTCTCGCTGCAACCGCCTGCGGGGGCCGGCGCCGGCCGCCTCGCTTCGCCAGCGCTGCCTAGGCCTACGACACGCGCATCGGCTCGCCGCCCGCGTCGCCTGAGGGGGACCCGCGTGGCGCGACGCTCGTCGGGAACGTGCTCAGCAGGCTGTACAGCGCAGTCTGACTCACTCAGAGCGCCGCTGATGCGGCGTGGGACGCCGCTGATGCGGCGTGGGGCCGCCGGCGGCACTGCTGCCGCGCACGCTGCGCTGTGGGCGTCACCATCGTGTCCTCGCCGCGTTGCCGACGCCACTTGCGGCTCGCGGCTGCCCTGCCCTTCCCTGCCATCGCGCAAACAAACACACACACACACGCACACACACACAAATTAATAATGATCGAGTATTAATTATTAATTATTAATCATCGGGCGGTGGCGCGGCGCGGCGGCGGGCGGCGCGAGGCGGCGGCGCGGCGAGGCAGCGGGCGGCGCAGGGCAGGGCGGCGCAGTGGCGGGTGGTATAATTACTTATTAATTAATTAATAATTTAATGAATTAATAATCATCGGGCGGCGGCGCGCGCGGCGGCGGGCGGCGCGGAGCGGGGCGGCGAGACCATCTGTACTGAACGGGCCAGCTAGCTGGTCTTTGAGTCGGCGCAATGGTCGCGCCGCCCTCGACTCAAGGGGCTGCCTTCCACCCGTACCTGCTCAGGCCGGGGGAGGGGGGGAGACCTCCTGTTCCTCGCGGAACGGGAGCAGGCCCCTCCTTGCCCGGTCTGCGATGCAGGGCGGTGGTCGTGCCATCGTCGCTTCGTACACAACCACCACGCCGCAACCGTCGCCGGCGCGTGAAACACGTTCCCGTAGGCCGGACTGTCCTCGTCGAGAGTGTGTGCCGCCAAGGCGGGACACACTCAGGGACAGTGCCGACGGGACGCGGCTCGAGAGACGACTCCCGCGAAGGCACGGCTGGCATCCCCGTGGCGTGGGGCTCGTCTTCAAAAAGTCGGGCATGGCTCTACCCGCAACTTTCTCGCTAACACGCGCGCACCGCCGAGCCTGCGGCGGGCGCGCTGCGGCCGCACGTCTACCTCCGTCATAGTGCCACGACGTGCGGCCTAGATTTAGCACATGTACATGTGCCTCTGCTCGCATACACTCATACAATGAATTGTCATCACCCGTGAGTGCGAGATAGGGCTAGCAGTAGGCCGCTAGCCTGTGAGGAGGGCGTCCATAGACACCTCACTAGACCCACACACGGTCTCGTCCGTGCCTCGCCGGCCGGCGAGATTGCTAGAGGTGGAGCAAGCCTGCTCTAGCCTCGCATGTTACTTCCTGTCGTCTGTTGTTTGTTGTGCCCTTGTTTGTTCTCTTGGCACCTTGGAGTGCTGGGGGGGGCGACAGGGAGGATGTGGCCCCTTGAGTTATGTGTACGCCTACTCAGGGTGTGTGGCAGCCCGCTGGCTGTGTGTCTTGTGAGCCTGCTTGTGTCTGTGTGTCGCTCGTGCGTGCCGTCATCATCTGTCCAGCGTCCACCCATACCGCGTTGGTGTCCAGTCCGAGCCTGGCTGTTCTTCACCTTCCTACATACATACATCGAGAGGCACCGAGCGCGAGGGGCTGTCTCATGTTACGTATTATGAGCATGCATGTTGCACGGCCGCCACCAGTTGCGGCTCAGTCGTCTCTTGCAGCGCCTGCTGCGCCTTGGCGCTGCCGCCCGCGGGCTGCTCCTCCTCCATTACTGCTGAGAATGATAGTGTAAGAGGAGGCAGAGTTTGGTCGCAGGGCGCTCGGGTCGCCTCGGAGCGGCCCCGCGCGGGGAGGTGGGTGGAGAGCCCGCCCCCGCGCCCGGCGCGCCGTTTTTCGCGCGCTCACCAAGCGGCAAGAAAAGTCCGGCTTGAGCGGTCAGCGGCAGCAGTTTTGTCTTGATTCTCTTTGTGTGAGTCAGACCGTGCGCGCGTGCGATTTCTTCATTTTGAGTGCGCTCGGTTGTCAGGTCGACCACGGACCAAGCAGCGCCTAAAGGGCGTGCAAAAATGGCAGCTGTCGCCGACCGCCCGTGCGACCTGTTCGCCTCCAGCCCCCCCTTGGTCCCGGCCCCCCCGCCGAGGGCGATGCTCCACGACCCGTACGAGAGGAGCCGTGCCAGTGCCTAGATTAGATATTCTTACCTTCTTGCCCCCCTCCGAGACTGGAGACAGTCACCACCCGTACACAGGAGAGATGGGAGTGCCCCCCGCCCCCGCTTGCCCTGCCTGCGCAGGATAGCGTGCCCCGATAACGGCGACACTTAGCGAGGGTCACTGCGCAAGGAGGGGGTGCGTCGCCTTTTCTTTATCCTCTCGAGGGAATGTTCTCTCGACGCCCATGGCCTTTTTCTGAGGTTTCGTACTAATGACGTCCTTCTTGGCACTTCGGGCGTCGGTTGTGCGTATCTGTGGTGTCTAATTCCCCCGGTAATGTGTTCGGGTATCGGTCGTTGAGTGGACGCTATCTCTAACCATTTGATCTACGTTTGCCGACTTCGGCCGACGGCCTCTCGATGGTCGAGTGGCTTCCGGATCGAATCGGCGACTATGACCCTTATATTTTTTTTTCACACCTGGCGGGCCCAATTTTGCTCAGATGCACCTCCGAAAATTCGAAATCGCGTCCTCCACGCTTAGCGCTTGCACCTTGTGATTTTTGGGTCAAAAATCGTCCCGATTTCATAATGTTCGTTCGTACGTGCATCCGCGGCGCCCAGCGCGGTGCCAGCGGCTCCCATACCTCTAAGAGGCCACCCACCTCCGTATAGACCCTTATATCCGCGGTTTACGCCCAATAGAGGCAGCTGCAAGAGGGCCCGGACGGGCACTGCGGCACACACTGCTCGCTGCTCGGCCATGCGGTAGCGTCCGGTGATGCCGCCCCTGCGCGGGCGGGGGCGTCTCGCTCGGCAGCAACTGCGCCGCGCAGCGCAGGTTCGAGGGTCGCGGTGGGTGGGTGCACTGGAAGACGTAGCGGTCGAGAAAGCGCTCAGCGACCGCTACGTCTCGAGGATGGAGCCGTCGCGCGGACCCGACCGGCCGACCGGCAGTAGCAGCAGGCGCCGGAGGGCGCGGGAGGCAGCGGCGACACCTCGGGCCAGAAGCGCGAGCCCTAGGCTGGTGAGGGGGCCCGCTCATGCGTAAACGGCTCTGGGACTTAGCTAAATCGCGCATCGAAATCGGGACGATTTTGCCAGGGCACCGTCACAAGGTGGCATGCGTCCGTTCTTCGTCACGGGTGTGCAGTGCCTAGATAAGTCTGTGTGCTGTGTGGTGCACGCCCTCCGAGCGGGGCGGGGGGTCTGCCCGTCGGGTTGCTGCCCTAATCCCACCAGGGGTTGACTGCTCTATTTATTTATTTGGCCTGGCGCGCACGCTCTGGCACTTCTGGCACTAACACAGGTACACCACGGGAGCCGCCTAAGCGACTCCAATCTCCTGCGAGGACGGCGGGCGAAGGCGCCGGGTGCTCAGAGATCAGAGTTGCACGCACGTGTGGCAGACGGATGGAGGCTCTTGACGTCCCCATCAATCACTGCTGCCCGACCCACGTGTACAGGGCCACAAACAGCGTCTAAGTTGACGGGTTGGAGGGAATCCCCGCCCGTGCCGGGAACAGTTCGTCCGAGTCATGCGGGAGCCAGGTGTCCCAGCTCGCGTCAAATCCGAGGAAGCGCACCTTTGCCTTGCGTGCGCGGACCGCGATCACCTTGGCTTCCCACCTAGCAGTGGGGTGGTCTGGCGGCGCCCATGCCACCTCCACCGCCTCACCCTTGGTCCGCTTCGTCGAGCGCCACAATGCGGAGGGCCGCTCCTCGTAAGGGCGCAGCTGCGTGAGTGGCCTCCACTCGTCTTCACCCTCGTCCTCGTACCCGCGATAGCGCACGAGCACCAGCCCGTTGGCGGCGCTGAACGCCAGCGCGTCGGCCTGCCACCACGCGTGGCGCATCTCGTCCGCATTGTCGAGCTTGTTGTCGTCCGCCCACCCCTTGGCCTCGAGCCCGTCGCGCCCGCCGAGTAATGCTCGGTAGAGTGCCTGCCAGTCGCGCTGAACACCGGGCAGGGCACCCTGGAGGCGAACCCGGCGGCTGAGCGCAGAGCACCAGAGCTGAGCGCGGTGCCGCGTGTACACCTCCAAGAGCGCAGCGCAGGCGGCGGCGCACGCCACGAAGCTGGCCGGCGGTGCGCTGGCTGCGAGGTGCTCGAGCACGAGGGCGTGTATCTCGGCGGGCAGACCCATCAGCCGCTGCACGCGCCGTCCGTGGATGAGCTTGTGCCTGGGCCGCGTCCTTGACGCCGTCGCTGGTTGTGCCTCTCTACTCCCTTCTACGGCTGCATTCGACATCTCGACCGCCTGGCGTCCCGCGTACTCGTCCTCCGCTGCATCGGTCGCAGCCGATGCCTCCGCGCCAAGATGGCGCGCGTACAGCAGCGCACCCTCCTGCGCCGTCGCGGCGTAACCGAGGTACTGCTTTGCACCGCGCACCCATTTGCTCACGTTAAAGCCTCCCCCCTTCGATTTTGCGCACACGCCTTCGAACCCGGTGCTGGAGCGCGACGAGCGCACCAATGTCAAGCCCTCTGCCGCCGCTGCCTGCTCCGCCTCCGCCGCCGTCATAGACTCGGCCGCCGCCGCTGCCGCCTCTGCCGCCGCTGCCGCCGCTGCCGCCGCTGCCGCCGCTGCCGCCGCTGCCGCCGCTGCCGCCGCTGCCGCCGCTGCTGCTGACGCCTCCGTTCCCAGCTCGCGCGCGTACAGCAGCGCTCCCTCCTCCGCCGTCGCGGTGCAGCCAATGTACTGCGTTCTACCATCAAGCGTGCGCGCCACGTTAAAGCCTCTCCCCTTCGACTTTGCGTACACGCCTTCGAACCCGCTGCTGGAGCGCGACGAGCGCACCAGTGTTAAGCCCTCTGCCGCCGCTGCCTGCTCCGCCTCCGCCGCCGTCATAGACTCGGCCGCCGCCGCTGCCGCCCCTGCCGCCGCTGCCGCCGCTGCTGCTGACGCCTCCGTTCCCAGCTTGCGCGCGTAAAGCAGCGCTCCCTCCTCCGCCGTCGCGGTGCAGCCAATGTACTGCGTTCTACCATCAAGCGTGCGCGCCACGTTAAAGCCTCTCCCATTCGAATGTGCGCACACGCCTTGGAACCCGGTGCTGGAGCGCGACGAGCGCACCAGTGTCAAGCCCTCTGCCGCCGCTGCCTGCTCCGCCTCCGCCGCCGTCATAGACTCGGCCGGCGCCGCTGCCGCCGCTGCTGCGGACGCCTCCGTTCCCAGCTCGCGCGCGTACAGCAGCGCTCCCTCCTCCGCCGTCGCGGTGCAGCCCTGTGCCGCCGCTGCCTGCTCCGCCTCCGCCGCCGTCATAGACTCGGCCGCCGCTGCTGCCGCCGCTTCTGCGGACGCCTCCGTTCCCAGCTCGCGCGCGTACAGCAGCGCTCCCTCCTCCGCCGTCGCGGTGCAGCCCTCTGCCGCCGCTGCGCCGGCATGCACCACCGCAAAGGGTACTGAGAGGATTCGAGCTGTTTTGGGGGAAGGGTAGGGTATGCCGATCCGCGGGCCGTTACGCGGGCTACCCCCTACCATACCGCGTTGGTGTCCAGTGACCTACCTACCCCCTACCCCCCTACCCCTCGACACGTGTCTTGGGCTCGGCGAGCGAGGTTTGCCTCTCGCACCCCGTCTGTTTTCCTTTCCTTTGCTCGCCCCGCTGGCACCCACGCTGTTCACCACCGCCGTGCGGCGTGCCCAGCCCTTGTCGGCCAGGCTCTTGCGCCGTTCGTCGTCCACCCCCAGGCCGGAGGACGACTGCGCAGGTCCTTGCACCGCGTGCAAGCGCACGCGGCCACACTTCGACGCGTCCAAGTAAACGCGACCGTCCTCCTCCTCATCCTCGTCGTCGTCTCCGTTCCACTCCTCATCCGAGCTGTCGTCCGGCGCCACCACCTTGAGCCGGTCCGGCATCGCGGCGCGGCTCTCGCGACGCGCCATGATGCGAGCGGCCGGTGTATCCAGCTCCTCTCCGGCTTCGGAGCGCGCTCATCCTTCAGCTGGGGTGAAACGGATGAGCGCGCCCTTTTCGGCGCCCTTACGCCCTTAAACCGGACCCTTTCCCCCCTCCCCCATTCCTCTTCTCCCTTTTTTCTCTACAACACCCTCTCTTTTCCTCTCTATTTTCGGAAAACTCCGTGGAAATCGTCAAATTTTGGGCGCTGAGCCGAGTCTGAGGCTGGTTTGGGCCCAAAATCAGCAGAACCACTCCCATACAGTGAAGGCACTTGCCACAGAACGCGTGAAGGAGCCACCCAGAGCCCTCAGACAGCATGAAACCTCCGCCCATGCGCCCTGAGCTGTTGAAGCCTCGAACCCCCCCCCCCCCAAAACACACGTCACATCTCACATCGCCGCTCCTCTCGTCAGTCCTCTCACTGCGCCTCCGTCCCGTGATTTCGACCCTCAATGTCCTTCCGCCGCCTCCGCGATAGCCAGCGCCACCTCGTGCGTCTCCAGCGTGACCGCAATCCCCATCTTGCCCGCGAGCGCCGCGCGCAGCAAGGTGTCCTTGCACTCCTCTAGCGTCGGCGCTCCCGCCCCATGATGCACGCCCGAGCCAACGAGCATGTCGGCGTACGGGTGCGGCGCGGGCGTTGAGTCGACGATGGAGATGGCCCAGAAGGGCGTCTCGCCACGTGTGTACCCAATCGTCAAGTACGACATCGTCCACACTTCATTTGCGTCGCCAGACGGCGCGGCCGCCGCGACCTCCTCGTGTGGCAGGGATATCCGTACCGCCCTGCATCTTGCGCCGGTTGGCCGCCTTCAGTTTCTCCTTGAACTCTGGCTGCGCTTCCAACACCGCGTGCAGCTGGGTCTCGAGTGCCGCGACCTCCGTCTCGGCCATGGATGCGAGCGCCCCCGCGGTCGAGCACTCGCGAGTTGTTGCCGGGGTATCCAGCATCGACACCGTCCGCACTCACCATCCTCCGTCACGTCTGAAAATGGCAGCGGCAGCTGACCCGCTCGGATGATCATCCGGGCCGCAGCGTAGTCGTGCTCCAACAGCGCAAACCGGCTTGCCGCATCACAATCCGCGCGGGCGCGTGTGAGCTCCTCGAGAGCGCGTTGCTGGCCGTGCCGGGCGGCCAGCAGAAGAAGCTCCCGTCCCGAGGTCTGCACCAAGTGCAGGAGAGCCGCCGGCGTAGCGAGGGGGGGTCACCAGCTCGAATGGCGGCTTCGCAGGCGGCAAGCGTCCTGGCCGCAACCTCTGGGCTCGGAGGGACCGCGTTAGCCTGGAGCCCATACGTCCACGGAGGCACTGTGGCATACCTCACGCACTCCTGCAGGTGCCCCTGCTGCTGCCAGCGGATGCGGCACTGCGGGTGCACCAACCGCCGATCGCCCAAGCAACCGCACGGCGCCACCAGTTGCGGCTCAGTCGTCTCTCAGTATTGCAGCGCCTGCTGCGCCTTGGCGCTGCCGCCCGCGGGCTGCTCCTCCTCCATTAATGCTGAATGATAGTGTAAGAGGAGGCAGAGTTTGGTCGCAGGGCGCTCGGGTCGCCTCGGAGCGGCCCCGCGCGGGGAGGTGGGTGGAGAGCCCGCCCCCGCGCCCGGCGCGCCGTTTTTCGCGCGCTCACCAAGCGGCAAGAAAAGTCCGGCTTGAGCGGTCAGCGGCAGCAGTTTTGTCTTGATTCTCTTTGTGTGAGTCAGACCGTGCGGGCGTGCGATTTCTTCATTTTGAGTGCGCTCGGCTGTCAGGTCGACCACGGACCAAGCAGCGCCTAAAGGGCGTGCAAAAATGGCAGCTGTCGCCGACCGCCCGTGCGACCTGTTCGCCTCCAGCCCCCCCTTGGTCCCGGCCCCCCCGCCGAGGGCGATGCTCCACGACCCGTACGAGGGCATTTCTCTCACGGTCGACGCGCAAGAGTGGCACCGGCTCGACGTGGATCGGGCGCTGATGTGGACGAGGGTCCGCGTCCTCTCCAACCAAGCCTCCTTCGCGCTGCGTGTCCGCGTCCGCCCGCCCGACGGGGAGCGGCTCCCCGATAAGCTCGCCCTCAAGGCCACACTTGTCGTCGACCGCCAGGGGGGCAAGGACACCGGCGCGGGCAAGGACGCCGCCTCCGCCGCCGCGTTCACAAAACCGCACCTCCTCGTCTCCGAGGCGGGGGAGGCGCCGCTGCTGCTGGACGCCCCGCCGGGCCGCCACTCCCGCGCCGCCCTCCTCCCTGCTGCCCCGGTGATGGTCGTGCCGGACCGGTCGGGCGGCGGCGGCGGCACCGCTCACTTTTCGCTGCGGCTCGGCGACTACGCGCTCTCCGACCGGTGCGGGATCGGGCGCTCGCTGCTCAAGCTCCTCATCACGCCCGAGATCGCCACCTCCGCCGACATGGAGGCCATCTGCGCTGGAGGTCTGCGGCCTGTGTGCCACGCCCCCCTGCAGCCGGGGACCCCGCGGCACGCTCAATAATTAATGGCTAGGCGGCCCTCGGTCGTGCACGACGTTCACCGCGCCCTTTCGAGCCATCACGCGCCTCCGCCTGCAGCCCTCGATCATGCACATGTACCCGCCCCCCGGCTCCAAGCCGTCGGGCAAGGCGGTGCGGATGCCCCCCCCCTGCCCCTCCCGGAGGGGGTATCGCCCATACCTCCGGGCGGGGGCGCAATGAAGCCCATCGCGCAATCGGGGAATCCGGCGGGGGGGTTACTTTACCGTATTACCTGGTACCGAGTTTAAGTTGGGGGTAACCCCTTGTAAAAATCCGA